GGCAGCACACTTGTATTTATGCTAACTATGCTCTGTATGCGCTATTATATTGACTAATAGTGAGTAAATAATAATCAAACATCTTTTGGTATGATTTTTGAACAGTTTTAGCGCTCCAACACTCCGTTAACGCAGGTGATCAGGACACATCAGGTCTCTAAGAAAACAAAAAAGGTTTTATGGCCTTTAAGACATCACATATTTGAACATACTTATAACACAACAAGCAAACAACATGTTCCAACTCTGCTGCTTTAAGAACATATTTCTAATGTGTTTTAATACCCCTACATGGGAAAACACACAAACAGCTGTTCAGAGTCTATAATGAGGTTTCATGTCAACAGCGACGCAGACTTAGGCTCTGTCACTAGACAAAACTGTTTACAGTGTACGCAGCCAAAAGGGGATTTCAACCAAAACTCAAACAGTGTTGAGCCTGATAGAGAGGGTGGTGATGTGATCAGAGTCCATGGGAAGCACCACTGCAGTATCAACACAGAGTTGTTTCACTCAGCCAAACCAGGACAATAACACGCGATGGTACCTGCTGCTGTGTTTTATGTGAAAAACATACAGTATGTTATTTGTGGTTTCCAGGCTTTTTCCTGATGTTCAGCAGCAGTTTGCCTTCATTGCTCAGCTATTTTCTGCTTCTGCTGAGAAACTGGAGCTTGTTTTACAGCCTGCAAAGGCACTGCAACCTGGGATCTAGAGTATGACCTTCACATCACTGGTTTCCCATCTAGTTTATCAAGGTTATTGCACTCACTGTAAGTCACACTCTGTAATTAGTGTCAGCAAACCACCAAAATGTAAACACAGCCCGTGGAGACCAGCCAGGTTCTGTTGTTATGTTTCACCAAAATCTGCTGAAAATGTAATAGTGAAACAAAAAAGCTCGTTGACCCTGATGGAGCAGCGACAATGCTGTTTTGTTGTGAAATGTGAACTGGCGACTCAAAAACAACAGGTTATGGTACTTGATTTGCAGCACTGATAAACTGTTACTACATAACAGATGTCTCATTGTGAACATATAGTGAAATGTCGACACAGAGTCCTTGTTCGTGTTTTGTGTCTCAGCACTTCTGTACCCTGTTGTTTGGTCTCCACCTGCTAATTATGTGTCTTACAAACAGGCTGAAACTGAGGCTGATGGGAACGCGCCATGTTTTCTGTTGTTGTAATAGCTGTGTTGTGGATGGTATTTGTAGGACAAAAGTTTTGCATGTTGTGTAAGTAAAATGTGGAACCTTAATCTGATGGATTATCCTGCCTGTGTGAGACTGTGGGATGAAGATTTACCGACATATACTGAAAACCATAAAAATGTGCTAACAAAACAACGTGCAAACTGCAGGGCTGTCGCACCAGAGAGGTCCAGAGAAATAAAAGCACTTTGGTTAAAG